CTAGTGATGCCTTAGAAGACAGGTCTGGCAATCTACTTCTGGGAAAATCAGTCATTAAAAGTCCTAAGGAACACAGTTCTACTCTGCTACACATGGGGACACCGTGGATCGAAAAGGATTCAATGACAACTGATACTCTTATTTCTGGCTGCTCACAGTTCACAGGGCAAAACCTCAAAACCAAACCCAGTGTTATCAGGTTGATTCTGGCTCAGGGTGACCCTAGGGTCTCAGAAACTGCCAGTCTCACGGGAGCAAATAGCCTCATCTCTGTCTTTCAGAGCGGCTTGTAGGTTACATTGCCGACCTTCTGGTTACCAGTCTAACATCTGACCCACTGTGCCACCAGGAGTTCTGCTCAAACACTTGCTCTTGACACTCTCATTCTAGATGCTAAAAAAATACCATTCCCTACCATTGTTGTTGTTGTTATGTGTCGTGGAATCGGTTCTGAATCATAGCGACCCTGTACAGGGTTTCCAAGACTGGAAATCTTTACAGGAGCAGAAAGCCTCATCTTTCTCCCGCGGAACAGCTGGTAGTTTTGAACTTCTGACCTTTCAGCTCACAGCCCAATTCGTAACCACTGTGCTACCAGAGCTCCTTGTTGCCTATCATAGACACAACTAAAACTCATCATCTGAAGTTTCACAACAAACAACCTTACTAGTCAATGCACACTGACTTCCCCCATCAAGTTTTCCAAACCAAAGATCTTCCCTTGCTAGAAATATCAAATGGCCCCCTTGAATTCAGAAAATATTGGTATGCTGAAGTATTTCCTTCTAAGAAATCACACATTTAAACACTTGGAGTTCAGTATAAAAAATGTGAAGCTAAAGAAAGTTCAATATGAAGAAGTTGGCTATGGTTTATGGTTAGGGAGAATTTGAGCTACAAAAGCAATATTTCATTTAGACTAGTGGCCCCAACAATTAAGAACAGATAAAAATTAAAAAAACAACAACAACACAAAAACAGTTTTAATTATTATCAACCCATTGCCATACAGTGGAGTCTTACTCCTAATGACCCTATAGGTCATAAAGGACAGAGTGAAACTGACCCTTGGTGTTTCTGACTTGTCGATTTTACAGAAGCAGGTTGCCGCATTTTTTTCTCCTTTGGAGCAACTGGTGAGTTCAAACCACTGACCTGTTTGGTTAGCAGCCAAATTGCTAAACCACTGTGCAAGCACAGCTCCAGAACAGATTACACAATAATAAAATACGACACACTGTTGTTATAGGTTCCTCAAATTCTATTATGATAATTTGTAATTAGATTTAAGCTTGGGATGATAGTACGAAACTCTTTCTCTTTCTCTCTCATATATATAATATAATATATATATATATATATATATAGCTCTGGTAATGTAGTGGTTACGAATCGGGCTGCGAACCTTAAGGTCAGCGGTTCGAAACTACCAGCTGCTCCGCAGGAGAAAGATGAGGCTTTCTACTCCCGTAAAAATTTATACCCTCGGAAACCCTGTACAGGGTCGCTATGGGTCGGAACCGACTCGATGGCACTTAACAACAACTATATATATATATATAATTTTTTTAATATGAAACTTTAATGAGGTGATTATTTTTAAATCCAGTCTTTTCCCCTTAAATTACAATTTTATTTTCATGTTGGTGTGGAGAATTGGTTCTGAAATGAATCATACAGCTTTGCCTGGCCACATTGGCTATTTCTTTTGTACAGCTTTGTTCGTTAAGCCCTCTTGTCTTGGTTAACTATTACCATAAAACTGCAAAGAATAAGCCCATGGGCACTGAGTAGATTACAACTCATATGGACCCTATAGAGGGTTTCTGAGACTAGACATCTTTAAGGGTGCAGAGAGCCTCATCTTTCTCCAATAGAGCAGCTGGAATGTTTGAATTACCCACTTTGAAATGAGCAGCCCAACTTCCTAACCCATGATGCCACCATTATTACTGTTTACCTCTGTTTCTCCTCTAGTTCATATTTCCTTTCAGCAAAATCCAACTCCAAACTCTTAACTTTTCCTCTCCACTCTAGAGAATCTGTGACAAGTTTTTCATATCGATCCTTAGATATCATCTATGTTAAGAATGTATGTATAATTTTAAGTGTTTATGTCAGTTTTAATTATCATAACTGTTGGAGAAAATAAAATATTCCAATACTATGTCTTTCATTTGTGTTTTGATTTGTCCCTGCCTCTTTTTGTAGGAATAGGAAAAATCCATAAAGTAGGGTGAATCAGCTAAACCTGACACTATAAAACTACAAAAGAAGTCAGGAAGTTTTAAGTGCAAATTTCTGTCTATTGGGATTGATGAGGGATGAGAGGACGGCTTTGTTACAGACAAAAATATCCTTTGCCATCAAGTCAATTCTGACTCATAGCGACCCTATAGTCTGAATAGAGCTGCTCCATTGGGTTTCTGAGGCTGTAACACAGACTGACTTATTTTTCTTCCATGCAGCAGTTAGTGGGTTTGAACCAACAACCTTTCAGTTAGCAGCTCAATGCTTAATCTATTGGGCCACCACAGAGGATGAAACAACTGCAACCGTTGCATTTGACTAGAAAGGATCAAATTTGTCATTGTAGATTTGCATTCCAGATTTCAAATATAGACAGTGCAGACATGACCTCTTTGCCTTTCCTTACACAATTTTCCAGGCATATTTGATTCAGAAGACCTTTTTAAAGTGTTGAAGAGCAAAGATGCCAGTGTGAGGACTAAGGTGCGCCTAACCCAAACCATAGTATTTTCAATAATCTCATATGCATGTGAAAGCTGGACAGTGAATAAGGAAGACCATAGAAAAATTAACGCTTTTGAGTTAGGTGTTGGAGGAGAATATTGAAAGTGTCATGGGCTGCCCAAAGAACCAATAGATCCGTTTTGGAAGAAGTGCAGCCAGAGTGCTCCTTGGAGGCCAAGATGGCCAAACTTCGTCTCTCATATTTTGGACATATTGTCAGGAGGGACCAGTGGCTGGAGAAGGATATCATATTAGTAGGGTGGAAGGTGCAAGAAAAAGAGGAAGACCGCCAACAGGATGGATTGGCAAAGTGACAGCATCAATGAGCTCAAGTGTGGCAAAAATTGTGAGGTTGGCTCAGGACTGGGCAGTGTTTCGTTCTGTTCTGCATAAGGTTGCCATAAGTCAGTACTGACTTATGGCACCTAACAGCAACAAACTTTTGTGGGAAGTTTAGTAATGTAACAGCTGCTCAGATAACAACTTGGACTGCAGTGTAGCCACTGATAGCATTTGTAGGTCATTTCTCACCTTTTTACAATTTAGTGCTGTGTGATTAATGATCTGTGTCAGTAAATGGCTGAAGTTTCCACCTCATCTCGGAACTGAATATATATATAAAAAAGGTATCACTATTCAATGACTGGCCACTTAATGCATTTTGTTTTCTCAAAATATTTTTAGCCAGCAGCTAGTTTCTTGGAAAAGGATCCAATGTACTAACAGAAAGGAAATCACAGTCATTAGCCTGAACAAAGAGATGGAACTCAGTCTGTTGACAGGACTAGACATTTCTTGTAGGAGGCTGTGTGGTGGGAATGTGCACTGTTTTACACCCTTTGTCTGCCAATTTTGGTTCCGTTCATTACTTAGAAACAGCCTCCCTATCCCAGTTTCAGCTCCTGGCTTTCTTTATTCATTTTCTTTTTCATTGGCTTTAACCAGAAAAGCCACTTACTTCCAGGAATAGCACAGAGTCTATACTCTCAATTTTGTCATAAGAATTACAATTCCTTTCTCTCTGAAAGCACTCTCCCCTAATCTCTATCATTATGACCGCAAAAGTATTAGGTGGTTCTAAGAACCTTAGCCTCTATGACCCTGACAATGGAAGACCTAAATGATACCTAGCTGCTAGGACCAGTAAATCTGAAAGGGACCACAATAAAGTAGGATAAAACTGTGGAACAAAACTCAAAAGCATAATAAAGACCAAGCGTCACTGGTTGAATAGAGACTGATGGAACCCTAGAGACTGTGGCCCTTAGATCGCCTTCAAGTCTGGAACTGAACTCACCGCTGTGACTCAACTTTTCATCACACAGTAGGTTCATACAGTGAACAGTAACAGGGAGATCCACAGTCCTTAAAAGAGTCAATTCTTGGAGATCAAAAGGGCAGCATTTGCCCAGACACAAAGTTCAGAAGATAGGAAGGAGAGGGAACAAGATAGGTAAACGCAGAATGAAGTGGATGCATGTCATTACATTGCTAGATTGCCATCTAAGACAGGAAGCAAAATGTGTACAAATAGCTGAATGGAAAACAACTTCTCTTTAACTGTCATCCACATCACAATGAAAAGTTTTTTTAAAGTAGGGGAAGCTAGGTGTTTTCAATTAAAATGAAAATATATGATGTAGTTTTGTACAACATATAGGGAGCACATTAGACAGAAATAAGTTATAACCACATTCGTAACTTCAATCTCTTTGATTGAAAAATAAAGTTTTGGAAGCAATTAAAGTTCAGCACCAATAGATTATAATGCATGCCTATATATCTCCTTTTAAAAAGCTTTTAAATAATGAATGTCCTTGGTAAGAATATGGACAATTTTGTATAATTTTCATGTTGGAAAATATCTACAGGAAGGATTATGGAATATATTGAAAAGAATTCAAGAGAATTTTGAGTCGTGTTTTACTTCTCACCATACAATTCTATTTATTCCTTTTCTAGTATTACTTTTCTAGTAATTTTGAAAATAGAGAAAAATAACCTCTTCTTCTGAAAATCAAACATATTTTTATTTATTGAAATATATAAGTGTCATAGCAGCATCAGTCCTGTGTGTTGTTGCATGAGTAGTTCATAAAACCAGTTATGGTTTTTCAAAAGGGTGCTTGGTATTTAACCCATCAATACCTGGTGTTTGGTGGATTATGTACCATGTGTCCTAAACACAGGTGGGCAGCTCTGCACCTCTCCTTGCCTCATCAGACCCGAGAGAGCTGGGTACTTACAGAAGCACAGTTTTCGGATTTGTCTTCCACAAAACCAATTTGGCAGGGCGTCCTCTGATTCTGCAGCCAATAATCTGTGGACTCAAGCAGACTGTTGCTGCGGAGAACCTGAGACAACGGAGAAACCCTCATCAGTGCATTTTAGATGGGCCAAGGTTTTCTATTTAAACAAACAGATCTTTTCTTTCTTTTTGCTTGTTTATTTTTTTCACTTTTTACTTTCAGTGGGGAAGAGGTGTACAGAACAAATCGGTTTTCCATTCAGCAGCTTGTAGGCATTTTGTTTCACGTGTTGGTTGAAATCACTACTTATCCTTCTTCCTGCCTGTATTACCTGTTTCTATTCCTTCATCTTTCCTACCTCTTTCTGTGTTCTAAACTAGGCCACTGTAGAAATGCTTCCCTATGGATTTCAAATGGTTGATTTTTCTAAGATGTGGGTATTTTCCTAGTCTTATGTTCCCATTCTAGACCTGATTTGGTGCTGTAAGACAAGCACTGGGCAACAAGTTCTGTTTTAACTACATGGTTAGAAGTTTAAACCCACCAGCTGCTCTTCAGAAGCCCTATACAGTGTCACTATGTGTCAAAACAGACTCGACAGCACTTAACAACAGATTTGTGTTATAGTGAATTATCTAATGTCTCTTCTAGCCATAGTCTGAACCTCCCATTAAACACCGTCTCTGCTCTGCTGCATCTGGGTAAGAGACGGTGGGAGAAGATATTGATAGGATGACATGACTCAGCTGTGAATGTTAGCAGAGTTCATTGTAAGTGTGAAAACTTAAAACTCTAGCGTGGGTTTACAAAGAGCCATCTCAGAAGCAGGAGCAGGGATCTACAATCAAAGAAGAAGAACCAGGAGTGGAGTGCGTCCTTTGGACCCTGAGTCCCCTGCACATGGAACCTCCTGGACCTGGGGACAGTAAAGTTGTGACACCAGAGGAGGGGCAGAGGAGCAGCAGCAACAGCAGAATCAAGAACCAGTGCACGAGATACAGCAGTGGACTGCCCAGCCCACGGAGCAAGTAAAGCTGAGTGACTCTGGGCTGGAAGCTTGCTTATAGAGTAGGGTATCTCCAGGCATTGAGGTGGGGGAGCTAGGTTTGCTGACCCATGGAGCTAGAGCTGAGTACCTTCAGGCCGAGGCTCATGGTGGAGTGGTGTGTCCTGTGGGCATTTACCAGCAGCTGACTGGAACAAATGTGCCCTGAACATTTTATGACCCTGAATCGTAACCTGTTAAATTCCCTAATAAACCCCTTAACTCTGAGTATGCTGTCTGAATCCTGTGTGGGCATTGCAGAGGATTATCGAACCCAACTAAGGAGCAGAGAGGGCTGTGGTAGGAATGGTTTGGCGCTTCATATTTTTGCAGACCTGTCTACTGTTTGGTCTGAAGGATGATTAAGGGTCATAGTCTTCTACCAGTCTCTACCAGACCAGTAAAACTGGTCTTTATTATGATTTTAGGTTTGGTCCACGTTTTTAGCCCACTCTGTCCAGGACTTTCTAATGTGATCTCTTTCAGAAGAGTTGGTAGTAGTACCTAGGCATCATCTAGTTTTTGTCTCTGGGATGAAGAAACTGAGGTTCCTATGGTCCATTATGCCACTTGACTAATTGTTCCCACGTACAGGTAACTGGCATCACTGTTTACTTTCCTCTGGAGCATCTGAATATTAGGAAAAAACCCCAAAACAACAAAAACACCACTAGAACGTGTAAAATATTCAGCCAGAAACTAACTTTAAGCAATTGTTGTTCTTGTTGTTGTTGTTAGGTGCCATCAAGTCAGTTCTGACCCATAGCAACCTTATGCACAGCAGAATGAAACAGTGCCCGATCCTGGGCCAACCTCACTACTGTTGCTACACTTGAGTCCATCGATGCTGCCACTTGGCCAGTCCATGTCGTTGGGGGGTCTTCCTCTTTTTCTCTGACTTTCCACCTTACCAAACATGATATCCTTCTCCAGTGACTGGTTCCTCCTGACAATATGTCCCAAGTATGAGAGATGAAGTTTGGCCATCTTGGCCTCCAAGGAGCACTCTAGCTGCACTTTTTCCAAAACGGATCTATAGGTTTTATAGGCAGCCCATGGCACTTTCAATATTCTCCTCCAACACCGTAACTCAAAAGCATCAATTCTTCTAAGGTCTTCCTTATTCACTGTCCAGCTTTTCATCTATATGAGGTTATTGAAAATACCATGGTTTGGGTCAGGTGCACCTTAGTCCTCAAGCTGATCTCTTTGCTCTTCAATACTTTAAAAGGGTCTTGTGCAGCAGATTTGCCTAATGCAATATGTCATATGATCTCTTGACTGCTGCTTCCATGAGTGTTGATAGTTGATCCAAGAAGAATGAAGTCCTTGACTGCTGGGGACAGCATATGCAGACCCTGGGTTGATCAGTGGCCATGTGACAACATGGACGAAAATCCAACCCCGGGGCCCTTCTCAGGATAGCGAGCCATGGACCCTGGGTCCATGAATGAATAATTTTAGGACCAAAGAAAATTATACAGAGGTAGCCAACCAGTGAGTTTGCAAAAACCAATGAACCCGGGACATCAGGAGGTCACTTCCTTTGGCCCTCAGGGTCCATGGCTCGCTATCCTGAGAAGGGCCCCGGGGTTGAATTTTCGTCCATGTTGTCACACGGCCACTGATCAACCCAGGGTCTGCGTGTGCTATCCCCAGTACTTGACAACTTCAATCTCTTCTCCATTGATAAGAATGTTGTTTATTGGTCCAGTGGTGAAGATTTTTGTTTTCTTGACATTGATAAGTAATCCATACTGAAGGCTTTGCTCTTTGATCTTCATCAGTAAATGTTTTAAGTCCTCTTCACTTTCAGCAAACAAGGTTGTATCATCTGCATATTGCAGGTTGTTAATGAGTCTTCCTCCAATCCTATGCCATGTTTTTCTTCATATAGCCCAGCTTCTCGGATTATTTGCTCAGCATACAGGTTGAATAAGTATGGTGAAAGACTACAACCTTGTCACACACCTTTTTTTAATTTTAAACCATTCAGTGTTCCCATGTTCTGTTTGAACATCTGCTTCTTGGTCCAGGTACAGATGCCTCGTGAGCACAATTCAGTGTTCCGGAATACTCACACTTACCACTATTGTCCATAGCTTGTCATGATCCACAGAATCAAAAGCCTTTGTATAATTATACAGATGCTAGTACTTCTGTTTCAGATTTGGAAACCTCAATCTGAAACAGAAGTACTAGCATCTGTTTGGCTAGTGCATCACTTATAATCAAGTCATTGTTCTAGAGTATGGGTCCAATGATGATGTCCATGGGAAAGTGTATTTTATTGGTACTAGTCTTTAACACTGGGACTCCTGTTGTGGTGCTGTGTGTTTATGCTCTGAACTGTAATGTCGGTTTGAACCACATGGTCAGTGGTTCAAGCTCACTGGCTGCCACTCAGAAACCCTATACAGGGTTATTATGGGTCAGAAGTGACTCAATGGCGCTTAACAACAACAACAAAAACTTTCTTCAAAGCTCTTATGAATATTTTCAGTTTTGAAAAGTGTGATGTTTTTCTGTTGCTCACTATTGCTTCTGAAATTATGACCCTTTAGTTCTTTAGGTCTTCTAACATGTCTGTGAAATTGAGTCATTTTTCAGGTAGCATGCTTTAAGAGCAAGAATTGCACTTAAAGATTGGTGCTATGTGGCTTTTATTGGATCAGCACTGGACTGTGAACCACCAAGTTGGCAGTTCAAACCCATCAGCTGCTCCTCAGGAATCCTAAACAGGGTCACTATGAGTCAGAAGTGACTCAATGGCACTTAACAACAACAAAAACTCTTCAATGCTGTTATGACTCAAACCCATCAGCTGCTCCTCAGGAATCCTAAACAGGGTCACTATGATCCAGAACCAACTTGATGGTACTTATCAACAACAACAAGGGTACTATGTTAAGCTTAAAAAATAATTAGGAATAAGCAAAGTGTATTTAAAGAATTATCTGCCATATCGAACTATATGGAAAAGTAAGATTTTTTGGGGGGTGGTGGTGGAGGATTTGAACATACAACACAACAAAAACAGATATGATTGATAAATGCTTTTGTTTCCATGCTGGGATTTTACAGCAACAAAGAAAAGTGTTATTTCCTAGGCAAAACCTTGTGAAGATCACACCATTAGCTAAATGATTTTACTTCTAATGTTGTCTAGGAATTTTTCATCCTGTATAAAATTTCCAATGCTCCTACGGTACCTTGTGTTTTACTTGGGTGGTGGCTGTTGTTGCTAGTCGCTGTTGAGTGGGTTTTGATTCATGTCAACACTGTGTACAACAGACTGAAGCACCGGCCCATCCTGCACCGTCCTTACAATCGTTGCTGTGTTTGAGCCCTTTTGCAGCGACAATGTCAAACTCATTGAGGGTCTTCCTCTTTTTTATTGACCCTCTACTTTACCAAGTATGATGTCCTTTTTCAGGTCCGTCCAGATAATCCTTCCAAAGCAGCACTCCATTTAGATGGAGTCTTGCAATTCTTGCTTTTAAAGAGCATTCTGGTTCTACTTCTTCCCAGTTTCATTCATTCTTCTGGCAGTCTGTGGCAGGCATATTTAGTATTCTTCAATAGCATCATAATTCAAAGGCATCAGGTCTTCTCTGGTCTTCCTATTGTCTAACTTTCACATGCATCTGAGCGGATTGAAAATACATTGGTTTGGGTCAGGGACAGCTAAGTCCTTAGGGTGAGATCCTTGGTCTTTAAAACTTTAAAGAGGGCTTTTGCAGCAGATTTGCCCAATGTGATACATTCCTTAGAGTTCTTGACTGCTGTTTTTATGGACATTGATTGTGGAAATCCTTGATAATTTCAGTACTTTCTCATTTTCTCATGATGTTGCTTATTGGTCCAGCTATGGAGATTTTTGTTTTCTTTATTTCGAAGTGAAATCCATGCTGAAGGCTTATCTGCAACTTTTATCAGTAAGTGCTTCAAGTCATCTTCACTTTCAACAAGTAAGTTTGTATCATCTGCTTATCACAGTTTGCTACTGAATCTTTCTTCAAACTTGATGCCACGTTCTTAATATAATTCAACTTCTCAGATTATCTGCTCAATATACAGATTGAATAAGTAGGGTGAATGGATACAACCCTCACACACACCTTTCCTGATTTTAAACAATTAAGCATCCCTTTAGTCAGTTCTGGTCTATATACAGGTTCCACATGAGTGCAATGAAGTATTCTTGAATTCCCATTCTTCATAATGTTATCCATAATTTTTATGATCCATGCAGTCAAATACCTTTGCTTAGCCAACTTTACTAGGATACATGTCTGTTAGTATTTGATTACCAGCTTCACTGAAGCAACATAACAGATTTAATCAGTTTGATTAATGCCACAAAAATAGAATGACACATCAGTTACATTTCATTTATACTTATACCAGAAAATGTTGTCCTGTTCTATTCTGAAACATAAATACATGGATTTTTACCTCTGAACAGTGAGCTAACCAAATACAATTGTGACACTTTTTTTCTGTAACAGATTTGGCTAAGCTGAGTGATAGACATCATCAACCAGGGAAGGCTTGACATTACCTAGAGATGGCAGCAACACAACAGTACAAAGAGACACTGTGGATGAACAGGGAACTGAATGATAAGCTGAGAGATTTTTACTGTAGACTAAGGTGGGCTTCTAGCACCCATCTGTCAGTTGGTCATACTGTGCTGGCTAGAAGCTATGCTATTGGTATTTCAAATACCAGCAGGGTCACTCAGGTGAACAGATTTCAATGGTGCTTCTCCATTAAGACAGGAGGCCTGGTGGCACAAGTGTTGGAGTGCTAACTGCAAAGTCAGAAGTCCAAACCCACCAGCCGCTCAGCAGGAGAAAGATGAAGCAGTCTGCTCATCTGAAGATTTAGTGTCAGAAATCTAGAGCAAATCCACTCAGTCTTTGAGTTGGGTTCAACTCAATGGCAGTAGGTAGAGTTTAAGAATTCACCGGTACCTACTTCCCAAAATGATCCAGTGTCAACCCTCTGGATCACAACAGAACGCCCGTGATACAGCGCTAGAAGATGAGCTCCATGATATGGAAGTTAATCAAAATACACAGGGACCAGCCACTACTATGGACT